AAAAAAAGAGCAAAACCCACATTTATATTGCATCTATTTCTTCATTATATTATTTTCTTAATTTTTATATGCATTTTTAACAGTGGATTAAATTATATTTTCCTTTTCATTTTCAGGGAATATCATCTCTGTGTTGTTCTTCCTTTCTCCCATGTAAGTTTTTGACAAAATATCAATACCACAATAAGATTAATTCAACTCTTATAATTTTATATTGATTTTGTTTTATAATTTATATTTTTGGTTTAAAAAGTTAATCTTCTAGACCAACTATATATTTTTTTCTTTTTAAAATCTACCTGTGTTTAAGTTCTGTGTTAGATTGTTTTTAAAATTTAGCTAAAATTTTAAGAGTACTTTTAGAAAATGAAAAACAAACCTAAAAAAGAAAAAAAAAAACTTAATTTGGTTTTGGTTTTACTTCTAAAAAATAAGTTTGTTTATATACTTCTTAAGTATATTTAAAATCTAAAAAACATAGATTTTTTCTTTTTCATAAATTTGATGCTCACACGACACATTTATTTTTGAAATTTGGCCTCATGGTGGAGAACAAAACAATGAGTAATTCAATACAAAATTTGAAAAACAAAACATTATCAAACAAGTTAAAAACAATTCGTAAGAAAAATAAATAGCAACATAGTTCCAATAAAGGAACCCATGGATCATATTATTTCCCAATATGAATTTTGCCCAATGTCTCGAATGATCAATTCTAGGACATATTTGAAGAAATTTGGACCGTCAGTATGAATGGTCTGTGGATTACAAACAACTATCAGATATGAAACAGAAAATAGAAAAATAATTCAAAGCAAGATGAAAAAATAAATAATTTTTATTTTTTGGGATCCATTTTGAGAAATATAAATTAATGAATAATTGGGTGATATTTTTATAATGTTGTGCAGGAAGACATTTTGGAGAGTGTTGAAGAAAAAATCAACAGAGGAATTTGACAGTCTTCCTTATATTTCCACTTTCCTCACTGCTTCTCTTTGGGCATATTATGGCCTTATAAAGCCTGATGGATTTCTTATTGTCACTGTCAATATCTTTGGAATTTCACTCCAAATTTTTTACCTCACCATTTTCCTTCTATTTTCACCTCCAAACATGAGAGTATGTCCTCGTCACTCGATCATCGTCGTTACTTTTACGGTTTGGATGTTAGTTTTGATGACGTCCCTACATTTTTATTTGCTATACTTTCCTTCATTAGTTTCGCGTCAATGCCTGCTCTTTGTTGTTATTGTTTTTTTTTTGTTTGACAAAATATTAAATCTATGTTGTGCATGTATGCTTGTAGGTTAGGACAACGACTCTAGTGGCGATTTTTGATGTAGGATTTGTGGGAGGAACAATCTTGACATCGTATTTGTTGTTACACGGGAATGCTCAAATCAATATCATTGGATTCATTTGTGCTGTTCTTAATATCATGAATTGTGGTTCACCTCTTGGAATAACGGTTAGTACTAAAACTTTCTTACTCCATCAAAATTTAGGATTCATGACATTTTTATAAAAAAAAAAGGAGGAAAAGAACTCCTTCAAACTAAGAATCAATTATAAATTATAAATTTATAAACAGTGATTTCAAACATCGATACAATAACCTTAATATTTTACCAATCATCTTCTAGACCTCTAGAAATAATTCTAGAAGACAAGATCGAGACAATTTCTTCCTCTCTAACAACCCGTTCATACCTCTACTACCTGATTATATATTTTCGATCTTACCCTTATATTATTAGTTTTTCAAGCTAGTAAAGTTTTATGCCTAAATTATCATTGTGAATTTACATTATTATTATTATTATTATTATTAATTATGCAGAAAAAAGTGGTGAGAAGTAAAAGTGTGGAGTATATGCCTTTCCATCTGACGTTTTGCATATTTGTAAATTCTGGAGTTTGGACTTTCTATGCTGTGCTTGTCAAAGATCCCTTCATTGGAGTAAGTTCTTTTCTTCATAATTATTTAACTTCTTTTTATACATATATTCCTCACCAAAATATGCAAAATATACCTATTTTTATCCCTATATTTTCGAGTTAATTTTGGTTTTTATACTTTCAAAACGTGTATTTTGATAATTTATTTTTAAAAAGGGGTCATTTTGGTCCATTAATTATAATTTTTATCTCATTTATTTTGATCACAATTTTAGCATGACAATTCATTAAAAAAAAATTCTTGAAATGTAGCCATAAATTTGTATCAGAGAATTTCCATTGTATATAAAATTTATATTAAAATCGAAAATATATGACCAAAATAATATTTAAATCTTAATATAATATTTTTAACTTTAAGGACGAGTTATATTGATGATTTTATCGATACTTGTTCTAGTCCATTTCGTTAATATCGTACGTTGGTACGAAATTACCGACAACAAAAAGATAGTAATAGAGTCAAACTTTATAAGCTCTATTTTATTAGCTAATTAGTGAGTCGTCAAAGTTGATTTTTAGATTTGAAATTTATTGAAGTTAAACTTTAAACTTTTGCAAGTAATTTTCTAGCTTGATTTCGAGCACATTCATTTTTGACTTCTCAAACTCAAGGTTTAATTTAATGAAATCGAAAATTTACAGTTAAAATTTCTTCGTATAATCAATAAAATATCTCTTTTTATTTTTTTTTTTTAGGTTACAAATTTGATTGGATTCCTCCTAGGAACCATGCAATTGATAATCTATGCCATTTATATGAATGGGTCTCGATCATCCAAAGAGGACCATTCATTGCTACACGAGGACCTTCTTCCACCACCTTCCAATACGACGCACTCTTCAAGTCTAATTATTTGTTGAATTATTCACGGTAAAAGTACAACTAGATAGTATCAAAATTATTCAATGATTCAGACAATGTGACTGTTATCGGTAGATTGAATTGATATTAAATTTCTAAATTTTGATGAGGACAATACATATATGTTAATAGAAGCATCTGTCACACTGCATTAGGAAAATATTCAATGAAGTTGACACGATATCACTCGTTGTTTACTTGCGTATATACCACATATTGTAGAATATTGAATTGATATTAATTTTTTTAAAAAAGTTTTTTTTTTACAAACATTTTTTTAAAAAAGTGTTAGTTGGTGGATAGTGAGCTTTACAATATATCTATAAATTTATAAAATACAAGTCATATTGAACCAATATCATACAATAATATTTCAATTGTATTGACCTTATTCAATAATTTCTCGTTCCAATGGATATTTTTCAACTAAATAAGATTTTTTGTGTGTCGAATCTCTCAAATTTTAAAGGTTATTCTTTTTCCTTTTTTTTTTTCTTTCCTAACAACAACTAATGTTTCTTTCTTTCTAAGATGCACCAAATTATATAGTTCTCATAAAGAGAAAAGAACTGAAAATGAGAGTGAACAACCTTTCAAAAATAAATGCTTAGTTACCCCTATATATAATATATATAAATAATCTTTTTTCCTTCTTTTTAAGGTTTAGTTACCAATTTATGGGCTTTGCTTTTTCATTAGATAAAAATAAGGCCCACTTAGTCTTCACTGGGCCTTTTATGTGGATCCAGTTTGTTCGCTTGGGCTTGGGCCACACTGCATATAATTAAGAAGAAAAATGGGTGTATATATCTTCTCAATTCATTTTGTTGTGTTTTTTTAGCACGGATCAAACTCATAACTTCTTGGTCAGAAATATATACCAATTACCACTGATATATGCTGCTTTGGCATATCTTCTCATTCACTTACTTTCAATTTTGGATTTTTTAAAAATAAAATTATATATATATAATATATATTAGATTAAATTATTACAAGTATACAGGCCACGATTCAAACATTTCACTTATAAATAAGATTAAGTGATGCTTGAACTAGTTGAATCATTATTTTAGTGGGAGCAAAAATATTAGCCCAACAAAATTATTTATTGCATTGAGTCGAAAAGAATCAATCTCTTAAGTCTTAAATATGCTAATTCAAAATCTTTACTATTAAAACTAAAGTAATTTGGTTAAAAAAAAAAGCTAAACCAACACTTAAAAGGGTATTAACAGCTCATGTCTTAACACTTTAATCTATAAGCTGATTTTTACTAATTACGTGGCTTAAACGGTAAATTTTTTATTTTCTTTTATCGATTGATGCTTGAAATCCAATAATATTGCAACGGTGAAAAAAAAACCCCTATTGACTACTTTCTTCTATCAAGTACAAAGAAAAAAGAAATAAACATATTATAATAATTTTTTTATTATAAATTGTATCACTGTGTATTTTGTTCAGTTATTTAGTTGTCTGCTTTTTTTTACCATTTATTTATCATGTCAATATTTCGTTAATGATGATAAGAACACACATATTATAAATGAAATGAAAGATTTAATTGAAATATTTTCAACTACTCAATTGATTAAGGTATATATCTTCGATTAAACGATAAGAGATTCAAATCTCTATCCTAACATATTATTGAATTTAAAAAAAAGTTTAGACATTAACCAAACACAACCATATCAAGTTCATCCACTTAACTAATGATTTAACCTAAACTTATTTTATTTTAATTTTTTTTCAGAAAAGTTACAAAACAGACCTTTGTATTTGGTCTTGTGCAAAAATTTAGTTGAAATCTTCTAGAAATTTAGATGGCTAGAAAGAGAAAAACAAATATTATTTTGAATTAAAAAAGTGGCAGCCATTTATCAACCCTCACGTGGCATTTATGATTTGTCCATTATTTCTTGTTGGGCATGACTTTGGATGATTGAGCCCAACATTTTCTCTTTTCCTTAGGGATTAAAAAGGACTAAAGAAAATGAAAATGAAAATGAAAATGAAAATAAAATAAATAAAAATAAAAAGGACATCTTCATTAAAAAAAAAAGATTCATTAAAAGAAAGGGAGCTGTTCAAAATGCGCGGTTTTCCCAATTTGGCAAAGAAAGAAAAAAAGGAGAAAAATATTGATCTATTGCTTCTATTTCTTTTATATATATATATTCTTAAATTCAAAGAATTAAGATGGGTCGAAGAATCTTCTAAGTCTAACAATAATCGAGTTTCTACCACGATTTATTTTGACTTTTAAAACCTTGTTATGAATTATAGTTAATTAGAAGAGTATATGTTTTTTCTATAGATCCTAAGTTAACGTGTTTCTGATTTACTAGTTTAAAAGGTTAGACCTTTTTTATTTCATCTTCCATAAAGTATTTGACTTGACCATATATACAATTATTTCAGTACTTTTTGTGACCATTACGTGACTTTGAAGGCGACACATTATTTTGACATCAAAATAAGCTAAGTGGATTGTCCGGATGTGTTTGAGCCAAAATAATATACTTGCAAGATATTAACATCGTGTAATTTGTATAGCCTCAGCCTAGACGTGGACTCAATGTTTCCACGATCATCATTGTGTTTGATACCTCTTGTTTGAATAGCTAAAAGAAGTTTCTAATATGATAATTGGGTCTAATACACTATTAATATAATTAGTGGGAAAAGTCTCGAATAATTATGCCACGTCTTTGATGCCTCCTATAATGGTAGTGGTCCAAGCTTAATGAAGAAAAAAAAAAGATTATATCCAAACTAATCTTAACACATTTCAACTAGTTAAGATATGTATTTTCGACCAAAAAGTCGTATGTTCGAATTCTCACCCATACATATTGTATTAAAAAAAATCATACACAATACAAAAAACAGAGTTGTTTTCTCTTTTTTACTTTCTTTTCTCTCTACATACTAATTCGAATATTCAAATCATGTTTCGATCACCAATGAATTACTTTAATTTAAAGGTACATGATATTCATTTTAAAAACTTATATTTTAATATAAGTAGGTATAACATTCTCGTCAAATCTCAAATGGAACATAGTATATCTCCACCCAAATAGGAATAAGACCACGATCAATAGCATAAATTGAAAAAACTTTATTTCTATTTGAATGAAATTTTCAATCATATGTTATGATACAATTTAACTATTACATTGATTAGAAACCAAATCAAGAACATCTTTTCATTTAGTTCGAGACATAAATACCTAATCACTTTATTTAGGTAGAATTCTAGACGAGGTGTCACGTCAATTAGGGAGTCAAAATGATCTACGAATGACGAAACAAGAATAGTTGATGACATGCTAATAGAATCATGCATTGGTGCGCTACCCGACGAAGTTAATAATTAGTTTGAGTTTGTGTCAAACTGAGTTTAGTTAGGCTGCTTAACGGTGAGACTCTGATTTTTATAGAGGAGCTTTGTGAAGTATAGCCTTAGCTACCACTATAATGTCTATATCTGGTGTTAAAAGATTTTTCGTTCGCCTTCTCAAGGGTGGAGTTAACGAATTTCTCGGTGGTGGTATCTCCCTTTCTTAGATAGGGGTTGAGCTGAACTATCTTTATCAAATCGACAAGTGATTCTACTAGTCCTATCTTGCCGCTCTAATGATCGAACTGAGACTCAAACATGTATTTTCAAAGCAACTGATCCACTTACGTGACAAGTTGTGAAGCTACCTATAACGAAGCCATGGGCAAGTTGATTGGAACCAGAAGAAACGAAAGACTGGAAGAAAATTCCTTATCCCCCAAATATGGATTCAGCAGTTTGATGCTCTCAGATTTCTCTCTAAATAACTCTCTTGTTAGATTATGTGAATTCTAAATCATTACGTGTAATTTCTTTCTTTTTTTTTTTTTCTCTCTTCACATGGATTCATTGAACTTCCCAGTGAGGTCGAGCATTTATTCGATAAAAAAGTTGAAGATTTTTAAAATTGATAAGAGAATTCACATGGGTCTCTCATTTCAGGATAATGTTTGATAACTCAGAGGGAGAAATACAAAAATATAACCTTTTTAAAATAATAATGAGTTATCAAATATTCAGTGGTGAGCTTCCTCTCAAGGATTTATTTATTTATTTATTTTTTATTCATGGATTCCATTTGATATGAGTGGTGAATTCATATTTTTACAGTATTTTAAAAAAAATCAACAAAATATCATTAATATAGACATAAGAATAATACCAAACTTTTTTTAATTTATTTAAAAATGATAAAATATTTATTTGTTGTCGACATTTCTATATGTTTATCGACATTTAAGTGAATTGATATTTGTATATAGTGTATATATGGTCAAAGTATCAATAAAATATCACTAATATTTTTTTTTGTTGATATTTGTGAGTGTCCGAGCCAGTTTACACGCACCTCTAAGAATTACTAATTCCTAAGTTAGGTGGCCATCATGAGATTTGAATACGTTCCCTCTTAATTAACTCTAATCCCTTGTAAAATACAACACATCATATTAATGTCAATAATTTGTAACTCATTTCAATATCTCTATATATATATTTTCACCAACCTCTACATTTATAACTCGGAGGAGATATCAATATGAACTATCATTTTTCTAAAAATATTATTAAAAGATCCCAATTCAAATATCTCTCTCCCTTAAATTTAGTGGTATTTTGTAAGGATTGAGTTGGCACTGCCATAGAAATTAAATAATATCCTAATTTGTCATACAAATTAAATTCGAAATCAAATAATATTCAATGCTTTCATCACATTCAAAGCTATATAAAGAGTATTGATCTTCTGTCAAAAAAAAAAAAAAAGAGTATTGATCTTCTTTTGAATATCTCTCTCTTTCAAGAACAATATGGAAACTCTTAGTTTCTTTGTTGGAGTGATAGGTAAAAAAAAAAAACCACATTTATTTTGCATCTATTTCTTCATTATATTATTTTCTTAATTTTTATATGCATTTTAACAGTGGATTAAATTATATTTTCCTTTTCATTTTCAGGGAATATCTTCTCTGCGTTGTTCTTCCTTTCTCCCTTGTAAGTTTTTGTCAAAATTTCAACTCTTATTTCACGTTGATTTTGTTTTCAATTTTTCTTTAATAATGTTAACCTTATGAACCAACCTTTTTCTAATCTACACTTTGTTGAACATAATCTTCTTTTAAATATTGGATTGCTTTTCAAATACCGCTAAACTTCTCGGGTGTTCTTAAAAGAATGAAAAACAAACCTCGAAAATGTGTAACATAGTTTGGTTTTGGTTTTAAAAAATAAGCTGGTTTACCTGACTACAATTTCTTAACTATATAATTTTTTCGTACCAATATTTTAATAAGATTTTAAAACCTACAAAAGATAGTTTCTTTTTAATTTTAGAAATCAAATTTGAAAAACAAAACATTATTGTTAAAAGACAACGAACAAAAATTTATAATGTAAGTAAGTGGACTGCTCATCTCATTGCCAATTGATTTTGAGATGAAATAATATGGTATTAGAGTTCAAAAACTTAAACAAACATCCAATCGAAAATCTATATCAAACGTGTAAAAAAATTAAAAAAAAAAACTTGTGCAAATTAGAGCAAGATAAAAAATTAATTATTATTATTATTTTTATTTCTTTTGTGGATCTATTTTGAGAAATATAAATTAATGAATAATTGGGTGATGTGTTTTTAATGTTATGCAGGAAGACATTTTGGAGAGTGTTGAAGAAAAAATCAACAGAGGAATTTGACAGTCTTCCTTATATTTCCACTTTTCTCACTACTTCTCTTTGGGCATATTATGGATTTATAAAGCCTGATGGATTTCTCATTGTCACTGTCAATATCTTTGGAATTACCTTTCAAATTTTTTACCTCTCCATTTTCCTTCTATTTTCACCTCCAAACATGAGAGTATGTTGTCACTCGTCGATACTCGATCCTTGTCGTTACTTTTACGGTTTGGATATATGGTTTTGATGACGTCCCTAAACTAATTTTATTTGCTATACTTTCCTTCATTATTTAGCGTCAATGTATGATCTTTGTTGTTATGAGTTACATTACTTTGATGGCTTTAACGTGATTTTGAACCTCCCTTATACTAAGTATCTCTTTTGACATATTTGAATGTTTGAAAACTAAAAATATATATCATTTTTAAAAGTATAATTTTGTTTTTGAAATTCAGCTAAAAAATAAAAAAAACTAAGGAAGAAAATTAACTTTAGTTTTCTTAAGCTTATATATAATTATTATAATTGTTTTTGTAGATGTCATCTATATTATTATAATTGATCATGATTAGTATTGATTTGTTGTTGTTATATTTATTTTTGGTTATTTGATAAGATACTAAATATATATACGCGCTATGCATGTATACTTGTAGGTTAGGACTACAATCCTAGTGGCGATTTTTGATGTAGGATTTGTGGGAGGAACAATCTTGACATCGTATTTGATGTTACATGGAAATTCTCGAATCAATGTCATTGGATTCATTTGTGCTGCTCTTAATATCATGAATTGTGGTTCACCTCTCGGAATAGCGGTTAGTACTAAAACTTTCTTACTCTATCAAAATTTAGGATTTTATATTCCATGCCGTGGGAAAAATACTCCTTCAAACTAAGAATCAATTAATTATAAATTCATAAACAGTGATTTCAAACGTCAATATAATTACCTTTTAACATTTTACCAGTCATCTTCTAGACCTCTAGAAATAATTCTAGAAGGCAAGATCGAGACAATTTCTTCCTCTCTATAACCCATTCATATTTCTACTACCTGATTATATATTTTCGATCTCGAAATTAAGATCGATTTCACCGTCATATTATTAGTTTTTCAAGCTAGTAAAATTATCATTGTGAATTTACATTATTATTATTATTATTATTATTATTATTATTAACTATGCAGAAAAAAGTGGTGAGAAGTAAAAGTGTGGAGTATATGCCTTTCCTTCTTACTTTTTGCATGTTTGTAAATTCTGGAGTTTGGGCTTTCTATGCTGTGCTTGTCAAAGATCCCTTCATTGGAGTAAGTTCTTTAATTTTCATATTCATATATATATATATATATATATATATATATATATATATATATATTCTACTCAATTCTTTTTATTCCTCACCAAAATATGTTAAATACACACCTAATTAGTATGTCTGCTTTGTTTAAATACTATTTTTGTTTATGTACTTTCGATTTTATTTTATTTTGGTCTCTATATTTTCAAAATGTCAATTTTAGGCTCGTTATACTTTCAAAATGTTTATTTTATGGTATAACCGTCACGGTTTTGCTTTTGGTTCCACCCAAAAGGTCTCATATCAATGGAGATAATTGTCCTCTCTTATATACCCATGATCATTCCCTTTCCTAGCCAGACTTTGTTTGCAATCACCTTACAAACCCAATCGTACCTTCGAAATAGCTATTTTGGTAATTTATTTTTAAAAATTGACCCTTTTGATCCTTTAATTTTAATTTTTGTTGATTTATTTTGATTACAATTATAGCATGACAATTCATTCAAAAAATTTCTTGAAATGTAGCCATCAATTTATATTAAAAGATTTTCATTATGTATAAAATTTATGTTAAATTTTCATATAGGGAGAAAAATGATCACCTTTTTAAAATTACATAGACTAAAAGAAATGTTTTGAAAATAGAGGTTCTACAATTAAATAAAAGTTGAAAGTACATTAATAAAATAAATGTTTTGAAAGTACACGAGCTAAAATGAACAAAAATATAATTGGAAGTATAGTTACTAAAATGAATGTTTTGAAAGTGCATGAACCTAACCAAAGACAAAAATATAGGAATCAAAATAGTATTTAAACATTAATATTATATTTCATAACTTTAATCGATATTGTTATAGTCCATTTCTTAATCTCGTACATCGGTACCAAACTAACCACAACAAAAAGATAGTTATAGAGTCAAACTTTATAAGCTCGTGTTTTATTAGCTAAGTAAGTCAAAAAGTTGACTTGAGAGGGGAGGATTCAATTCATAACTTCTTGGTCAGAGATATACGTCAATTACTGAGCTATGCTCGATTTGACAGATTCGAAATTTAATGAAACTTAGACTTTATACTTTTGCTAGCAATTTTCAAGCTTGATTTTGAGACGTGCATATTAATATTTGACTTCTTTAATTTAAAGTTGAGTTTGTTAAGGATCCTAAAAGATAAGGACCTAACAATGGTTTATAATAGGTATAAACTATTCCTCCCGTAACTTATTTATTTTGAGAGGTAACCCATAAGTATTAATAGAATTCAATGAAATTGAAAATTTAGTTAAAATTTCTTGCCATAACGATAACATTTCTATCTTTGTAGGTGACCAATTTGATTGGATTCCTTCTAGGAGCCATGCAATTGGTAATTTATGCCATTTACATGAATGGGCCCCAATCATCCAAAGAGGAGTACTCATTGCTACATGAGGATCTTCTTCTACCACCTTCGGATACGACGCGGTCTTCAGAAATCGAACGAGTCTAATTATTTGTTGAATTATTTATGGTACAAGCACAATCAGATAGTGTCAAAATTATTCAATGTTATTTGGAGAATGTGACTCTTATCGGTAAATTGAATTGATATTGAATTCTTAAGTTTTGATAAGATGATCAATGCACATATGTCAATAGAAACATGAGTCGTATTGCATTAGAAAAATATTCAATGAAATTTACACATGATATCACTCGTTGTTTACTTGCATATATGCCTTGCCACGTATTGCAGAGAATTGAATTGATATTTTAATGGGTCAATAGTAAATTTTACAGTATATATATCAATTTGTAAATTACAAGTCATATCGAACTGTATCGTACAACAATGTTTCAATTGTATTGAATTTATTTAATAATTTCTTATTTCAATAGATATTTTCAACTAAATAAGATCCTTACAGGCTGACTTCCTAAAATTTTAAAAGTTATTCTTTTTTTTCATT